ACGTAGTCTTTATAAATGACTACATCCAAAAAGTTGATCTGATCATGATCAATATTTTCAATTTTGTATTTTAAGCTAGGGTGAATATTCTTCAATTTATTTAGAAATTCCTCAAACTTTTGTTTTTCTCCTAACCATATAAAAAGGACATCGTCTAAACCATCTTAACGGTTTCAAGTCCATTTTTAATAAGTGTTTCAACTCGTGAATTAAAACAAATATATTTGCATACGGAGGAGCACAAGGAATTCCCATTGCTGTTCCGAATTTCTGTTTATAGAATTTTCCGGCAAAGCTAGATACATTATTTTTTAATACCATTTTTAATAATGTAAAAGGCACTGGTTGTCCTAATTTTATTTGTAGATAAGAACTATTTTCTTTAGCAAATTGGGCTACTTTTGCTGCATCCTCCATAATTGGGATATTCGTATAAAGTGACTCAATGTCCGTTGTGGCAAAATATATTTGTTTTAAGTCATATGATTTTTCCTTTATCTCCTTATTTAACTGAATAAGCTCATTAATCAAGCGTGTTGTACCATCAAGAACATGATAAAATGAGATATGGAACTTTTCTCTGATGATTTTTGAACAAGTAGTTTCAATACTAAATCCAGGAATTTTGACGGTTTTTCCGTGGAGTGACCGATTCCTGAAACAATTGGTCTTCCTGGACATAGCTTTTATGTACCTTAGGTAAAATGTAAAACCTCTGTAGTTTCGGTCTGCCCCTCAATCGAATTCTTGAAACATATTCTTTTGGGATATTCCCTGTTTTTATCCAATGTTGGATTCTCAGAAAGTTCCTCATAGCTCTTTTATCTTCTGATAATGCATATGTTTTAGCTTCATACACTTCTCTTGACGTTACAACAGTGCCTTGACCTTTGTCCGCTTGTTTTATTACAATATCGTTTCGTCGTTTTAGATTATTCAATGACTTATACTGAGATCTATGCATGTTCGGGCTAAATAGATCTGACTTGTAAACTATAGAATCCCGAACTAGACCGAAATTCATTTGTAATTCGGGATATCTATTCGCTGTCAATTCAAGATCAGCTTTCAATTGATTCTCTATACTCAATATTTTTGAAGGAATATAGATCAAACCATATTCCAAGATATTTAGTTCATCCCTATCTAGGACTACATTTCCTATAGTGAAAACACTATTCGAAACCCGTATTGGTTCCGTTTGAGACCAGTCATGCATAGTCCTCATAGGAAGTCATTGATTAGGATTGATATTGGTAGAGATGGTAGTAGTTTCGGGGTTCATAATCTGGTTATTTTGATTATATTGATTTCCCCCATAGAATGTTCTGTTGAAATGACCTCTTCGAATATTTCTATTATTTCGTCCAAATACTCTCGTATCAGAACGATCCTTACTACTATTGTTCGATCTCTTTCGTGGCTGCTCCTGCATTAATTGATAATTTCTAGCCCACGTACGTTGTGGTAGGCGCTGATATACCAATAATGGAGTATCCTCCTTTTCTCGAATATAGTCTGATTCCGACGCTATTGTCTTTAATCTGTCGATCATGGTATTATTTTGAACATCCGGTGTTCGGTGTTCTACATTTTCAACAGTTTCATTTTTTTGCCATTCGATTATCAGTTATTGAATAATACCCATTCGTTCTATTATTCATATTTTCGTCTGTGCAATATCTCTGTATGTGGCCAGTTTTGCCACATCGGAAACATTGAACTCTTTTTCTCTCTCTTTTATTCTTTATCCAACAAAATTCCGTAGAATGGTGCTTTTTTGGACCACAATTATCGCATTTTGCATTACAATTAAATTTTAAATGTCCGTCTTTATCACATTCGGTACATTTCTTTTTTTCTCGTCTTCTATATTTGTTGACACCCTTCGATAGTACAGTTGGCGTCCCATCAAAATCATTCAACGGTATTTTAGAATTCTCTTGGACATTATCGATATTTATTGAAACATAATTTGGCGCAATTTCTTTCATTTCCAAGCGGAATACTTTATTCCAAGCTTTTTCGATAAAATCGCTCAGAAATTCAGATTTCTTATAAGCTGATCTTGTAGGATCTTACAACAAGAAGTTACAAGATTCCGCAAGAGCATGCATGATCTTGGGATAAGATCTTACAAGATCTTTTGGCAAGATCTTGTAGCAAGATTGCATAAGAAATCATCAGATCTTATAAGATCTTGTAAGACGTCTTCCGCCTGGGTTCGTTTTCTACACGTCAAAAATGAGGCATGTCCCTCTGCACAAGAGATATGCTGTGTCAGAGCTATTTTGTCCTTATTTGTTATGCCACAACCAAAACAACGAGTTTCGTTTCTGTTGCAAAATGGTAGCAGAAAAGAAAAACAGAAAGATGTGATGTCACCATAGAAACACTCAAATGATGTTGGCGAAAACATCACGCCTATTTAGTCTTCTGACTACAACTGACAGCAAAATGAATACAAACGCCGATTTCATATCGTCAAGAGGGATGCAGCATGACTTACCAGGCCGATTGCTCACTACTTGTGGCAACGATGAATGTTTGAAGCAAGCACAGAATAGTAAGTAGATCATGTCTTCTTCAATCATATTCATTGTGGCAAACGTATACATAATGATTGCAATATGTTGAGAATAGTGGAGAAACAGATGACATCATGGTCATGAGCAGAGTAAAATGCTAAAGCTTGGCTATCCAACCATCCACATTACACAGAGAGAATAAAACCCTGACTAATACTCGAAAGAACAATCACTGTAGGCAACGCTACTAGTCACATTCGAGAGTGAGTACGCACCTTGCCATTGTTCCTCTTTTATGCTTCCGAGACTCTCGTCATATAAGAGAGACCAAGGATACGAACTCTTGACAATGCGCATTTCTTTAGATGTGACACAGTTTCAATTGCTTCCGAACGAAGTTATTCTTGAAATCTTCGAGCATTTACACGCTTATGATATTCTCCACTCATTCCTTCGACTAAACGATCGTTTCGATGGACTACTCGGCAGTCTACAGTTTGATCTGAAGTTTCATCGCATCAGCAAATCCAGACGTCACTTTATCTGCGAACACTTTCCATCAACGGCACAAGTTCGTTCTCTGTATCTGTCTGAACAGACCTCCGCTTACTTTGACTTCTTCTTCGCCCACTCTTCTAAGAACATATTGGTGAATCTTCGCTCCTTATCGCTGCTCGGCATCAACTCAGAACAAGTGATCAAAGTGCTGGCGCCACAGTTGTCCTGTATGACCCAACTATCGTCATTCACACTGCGTGTGAAATTGACCAATTTCGACCGCATAAAGGCTCAGAACCTTTCTGAACAAGTCACTGCCATCGTTGCAAACGAGTTGAAAGTAAATAACACTCTCACTCAACTTGATCTTAGATGGAACCGAATATCCGATAGAGGAGGTGAAGCACTAGCAGAAGCACTGAAACTAAACAACACTCTCACTCAGCTTGATCTTAGACGGAATCAAATATCCGGTAGAGGAGGTGAAGCACTAGCAGAAGCACTAAAAGTAAACAATACTCTCATTCAACTTGATCTTGCGAACAACCAAATATCCGATAGAGGAGGCGAAGCACTAGCAGAAGCACTTAAAGTAAACAACACACTCACTCAACTTCATCTTCGACATAACAAAATATCCGATAGAGGAGGTGAAGCACTAGCAGAAGCATTGAAACTAAACAACACTCTCACTCAGCTTGATCTTGGATGGAATCAAATATCCGGTAGAGGAGGTGAAGCAGAAGCACTGAAAGTAAACAATACTCTCATTCAACTTGATCTTGAGAACAACCAAATATCCGATAGAGGAGGCGAAGCACTAGCAGAAGCACTGAAAGTAAACAATACTCTCATTCAACTTAATCTTGAGAACAACCAAATATCCCATAGAGGAGGTGAAGCACTAGCAGAAGCACTGAAAGTAAACAACACTCTCACTCAACTTCATCTTGGAAATAATGAAATATCCGATAGAGGAGGTGAAGCACTAGCAGAAGCACTGAAACTAAACAACACTCTCATTCAACTTGATCTTAGCAGCAACGAACTATCCGACAGAGGAGGTGAAGCACTAGCAGAAGCACTGAAACTAAACAACACTCTCATTCAACTTGATCTTAGCAGCAACGAAATATCCGATAGAGGAGGTGAAGCACTAGCAGAAGCATTGAAACTAAACAACACTCTCACTCAGCTTGATCTTCGACATAACAAAATATCCGATAGAGGAGGTGAAGCACTAGCAGAAGCACTGAAAGTGAATAACACTCTCATTCAACTTGATCTTAGCAGCAGCGAAATATCCGATAGAGGATGTGAAGCACTAGCAGAAGCACTGGAAGTAAACAATACTCTCATTCAACTTGATCTTAGCAGCAACGAAATATCCGATAGAGGAGGTGAAGCGCTAGCAGAAGCACGGAAGATAAACAACACTCTCATTCAACTTGATCTTAATAACAACCAAATATCCGGTAGGGTATGTGAAGCACTGAGAGTAGCGTTTCAGGAAGATGGAATAGTCATTCTGTAGAATTCTGTTTTTTGTTTTGTTTTCCTGTTTCTTTGTATGTGTGATTGTGATCGAAGTTTGTTGAATTGTTCAACAGGAGTTGAAGCGCTTAATACATATTGCAGTTATAGGAACTGGATCGGATTCATTACATTGAGGGTGAGATTCGAAGGAGAGTTCGTGCATTTATTCAGTTGGTTACATGAATCTTTGATCTCGAATGCTAAATCTGCAGGGGCGAGCGCAAGTTTTGGAAATCCCCTGTTTTTCGGATGAGTCTCTGTCACAGATAGTGTGATACCAGTAACATACATCGTGTGCGAAAGTAAAATTAACCCTATTCTACATAGAAAATAAGGATGGAAAAGTTTGTTTGGAAAGACATTTAACAGCCGAAATCGAGGAAAAAAATTTAGATTGGGTTACATCGAAAACTTCATAATCCTGACGTCTGTCCACCGAAAGGAGTGTGCCTTTTCGATGCTTTCACATAAGTGCCGTGATTAGTACAGTCGATCGAAGAAAAAATTAACATATGGGTAGCTATTTCAGCAGCGCACCACGTGTACATGATGGTTTATTGCATATATTGAGATCCGCTCCATTCGAAAGACCATTGAGGTCTGAGTAAGATTGTGCAATTTAAAAAGTGTTGTGTAAACTCGAACGCAACAAAAATAAAAAATGAATATGAATAAAAAAAATGAATAAATACATTAAAATGAATATGCTGATATTTTAGCAGGTTTTCGTTGTCCGCGCAAATTGCTGGTAGGTTCGTACTTATTTTTTGAGCCCGAATGTTACACATACAATTTTGTATGTACTCTCTTAAGAACATATTGGTGAATCTTCGCTCCTTATCGCTGCTCGGCATCAACTCAGAACAAGTGATCAAAGTGCTGGTGCCACAGTTGTCCTGTATGACCCAACTATCGTCATTCACACTGCGTGTGAAATTGACCAATTTCGACCGCATAAAGGCTCAGAACCTTTCTGAACAAGTCACTGCCATCGTTGCAAACGAGTTGAAAGTAAATAACACTCTCACTCAACTTGATCTTAGATGGAACCGAATATCCGATAGAGGAGGTGAAACACTAGCAGCAGCAGTGAAATAAAAAAATGCAGTAAAAAAATTATTTATTTACATACCATACACCATTCGATAGAGAATTTCAGAGCGGTCAAGAATATGTGTGCCTTGAGTTTTCTCAACCCTTTTTTCCGGTTAAAAATTTGAAAAAATTCGAAGAAGTCGAAAACAGCCTTACAAAAGCATAAAACATAGTTTTAAAGATATTGTCACTCAACGTTTGTGTCATCTTTCTCTTACTCACATTGCAAGTAGTTGTTTGATTAAGAGTGATTAATTGTGTGTAAGTTTAAGTTAATTTATGTGCTAATATTCATAATCTTATACCAGAATCTGTTTGCTTTCTAGTTCCTGTATGTAAATTCCTTTATGTGTAACCTGTGGGCCTGCTCGAAAGAACATTCGTTCCGCTTTCCGCGAGTAGAGCCGTAGTCTGTCCACATTGCAACTTGTGCGTAGCACAATTACATGCTAATTTAATTCTTTATAAATATAAAACAGTACGACATTTAAATGCTGAGTAGAGATTTTTAACTTCAATTTTTTAATGATCTCTCTGACTCTGTTAACATGACCAGGGTCTGTCTACTTCACAACTTGTGCACAGCACAATTTTTCTGAGAAGAGGAATATATGATGTAAAAATAAAAATAATAGTAGAATTCATGCTGCGTACGGATTATGATTTGGTTTATAGATTTCAATAATTGCTTATATTATCCGTAAATTTATTGTTAGCCAAACGTTTCGGCTTGGTAAAGCCTTTATCAATGGCACATAAT